AGGGCGGGGACTCCCCATTCCAGTTCCACGTTCCAGACCATAGCCCGCAGCTCCACCGCTGAATGTGAGGAGTGGTGAACACATCACTTGATGTCTGCACATGGAGCCAAGAATGGGGTCATTGACCCAGACTCTGGTATCTGGGTGGTTCTTGGAAAGCCACTAAGTTGAGGTTTTTAATGAGGCCATGGCTCCTACTTGACCGGTCCTTCATCCCTGTAAGGGGGGGAGTTGGTGGGAATGCCAAACTCAGACAGACACAGCCCACCCAGAAGCAAACTTTCCCTTGCCCCTGGGCTCCACAGCGAGGCCAAGTTCATATCCACTCTGCCAAGCCTGTGTTTAGGGTGCAGGGCTCTCTCTGGCTTTCTCCTTCCTCCCAGGACTGCCTCCAGTAACTTCTCAAAGGCCCCCACAGTTAGAGCAACCCCTAGACCCCAGGTAAAGCAGATGCACTAGACGGCTGCTCCGACCACAAAGGCACAGGCCTCCGTAGAGCCTGGGAGGGAGGTGGTCTCACGGGCCAGCTCCTGAGACCACAGAAAGGACTTAAGCAAGTGAAATGGGAAAGTTCCTAGACTTCCTCATATTTACACACGGAGCCAGGAGACAAAGTTCCCACCGTCAAGAACTTCCTGGAAGGCGGGACTCCACGGCGGCGACCGGGCCCAAATGGCAGCCTCCCAGGCCATGGGCAGAACTCGGATGGTAGCAGGAGCCAGCTCAGGACAGGCTGTCATGGTCATTAGAAGGCCTGGATTAACACCATGTTCTTACTGGAGGAGTTGTCAGAGCTTAGCACAGGTGACCGGAAACATCTCCAACGATTCCCCTCGTTTCAACGCAGCTCCCAGGCGGGGTGGGCACGCATGTTCTCACACACGCATTCACACACATTTTAATTCCCTAAATTACTTTTTTTTTTAAATTTGCTTTGTAATCAGAATATTAAGGAGCATTCAAACACTGAAATTTCTTTGTTCCTAAACTGATTTTTTTCCTTCAAAGGAAATCTTGAAAACTCAGTCTTAAATTACAGTAAACATGCCCACAATTACAGTGAGGCCTTAAAATGTTCTCTCTACCGGGCAGAGAGGGGCGAGGAAACGCTCCCGCCTCCGACTCCTAAGGACGGCAGCGACCGAAACGCCCCAGCCCCCCTCCCCGGCTCCGGTTTGCTCCCTAACTTAACGCGCCCCAATTTCCCTACGTGGCAAATACAAACACCCCCTTAGGCGCAGCAAGGGGGGTAATCAAAGACCCAAATCTCTTCCTGGCAGCTCTGGACAACGCACAAAACCTGTTCTGGTCTCAGGAAAGGCCTCCAGTGAGGCTCTTCCGAGAAACCAGATTATTTGCAGGCCCGGCGGCGGGGAGGCGACGGCCCCTTCCCCAGCCTGAGGACGTCGGGGGAGCGAGACCGGGGCGCACGGGCGGGCAAACGGGGGACCCGGCGCGTTCCCCGAGCACCAAACCCCGTTTCCCTGCACCTCTCCCGGGCCCAGGCGAGGAGGCAGACGGGGGCCGGAGAGGAGAGTCCTGTCCCCGCGCCCGCCGGCCCGCCCGGCGCCCCCCATAGTCCAGGTGAGGCCCCGAGCGCGCGGCGCGCCCCCCATAGTCCAGGTGAGGCCCCGAGCGCGCGGCGCGCCCCCCATAGTCCAGGTGAGGCCCCGAGCGCGCGGCGC